ATTTTAGGCTGAGCCTAAGGCATACTTATATCGCGGAAATACCTAGGTATGGCATTTTTGGCGGGATAAGCTCCCCCACTCACATGCACTCACATGCATATGCTTAAGCAAGTACGGAGTAGACGGCAATCAACGAAATAACAAGAACTTAGAGATATTTGACTGGGGGTAACTATACTAGATTCTCCGTTGAGAATATAGTCTATACCTACCCAAGTAGTTTTAAAGCGGCTGCAGAGGTTTGGGCTAACCCACTATGGCCAGCTTAGTTCCGTGGCTGGTACAAGGTATCTCTCCCTGCAGGCTGTAGCTGAAGCTGCTGACAATCAAAAGTGCAAATATGGTGGTGCAAGAGTCGGATTTCACGCCCTCACACAATTCTTGATTATGGCCACCCCATTGCTCTGAGGATCCCCGACACGCCTACCGAGAGAAGTCCCAATGGGTGGTAAAAAGAACGCTAGGTCGCAGGGCATGAACCGGGGGGGTGAGCATAATCAACGACAAAGGAGCTCTCGGAAGCACGGAACTGAGGGGAGCAGCCGCCGAGCCACAGAGTCGCAGCCAGATGAAGAAGCCCAGAGATTTACAGACTTCTCTATCCGAGATACTAGCAACGTCCATGTTGGCTCAACGCATTACGAAGGTTAACATAATTTGACTACCTAGCTTTAATTGGCACGGAAGTGGATCATGTGTCTGAGATACTAACGGTTGGTGATCCAGGAGGACCAGTCATCCACATCCACTTAAGCCCAGACTTGATATATACTCTCGCAACCCAGGTTAATGGGGAATTCCCCCATTTATATACTAGTAACGACACTCGAGGATCCAATCCAGCCGATATTCTTTACCACCAGGCGGCCCCGCTACGACCCAACCCTAACTATCGAGAGAACTCACCACGCGCGAGAGCGCGGTCCACAGACCGCCGCCGCTACACACACAATGACAGGGCTACCTCTAATACGCGGCACGAAACCTCGATCGATAGCCCATCAGTAAACCAAGAAACTCCCGAAATTCAACATATACCTCTGGAGCCGAGCAATGAAAAGACACTAGCGGAAAGAGATCAGCGTCATCAGACTCAAACTCGGCACGAAGCCAGTGATCCGACTGACAAAGGTCCAAATCGGCAGGAGGGGAAGATTAGCTGGGGACAAAGATGGAAACAGAGATTGCGAGACTGGAGACGCTGAGGAAGTAAAAGTGGTGCGGTGCGGTACGACCCGGTTACCTACTTACCTATAAGTAGCTAAATAGGAGGAACCAAGCATAGCGCTAATCTGCCGCTAATCAGATTCCAATCTACGACGATACACACAGTATAGGTATTATACTCCATTTGTCTGGCTGTTCGTCCTAGTACTGGCGTTGCGTCTGCCGCTCTGTCTTGGCCAAGGGATTGGTTGGTCGTATGATATCCTAGAGAGACCCATGTTGGCGTACTGCACAGGCATATGGACAGAATACGGACAGGGTACGGACAGGATACGGAGTATATAGACAGTAAAATTCATTCTGTTACTAAATTTCAAGTAGCCTATAGCGTGTACTGAGTGTGTACATAGGGTCCAATCCAGTAATGACAAAAGCTGCCTGGTAGGGGCTATGACACTAGTGTGCCCATGTTGAAGTCATTAGGTCTTAGGTAGTTTTTCCTTATGTAGGTTCTCGCAGTAGGTATTCCTGCCCAACTCCACATCCTGCCATATTCACTAATGAGCATCTAAGGTACCTAGAAATGTCCCAGACTAGATGGCTAGATAGACCACCCAGGTGTGTATCCATCCCGTTTAGAGCGTACACTCCATGTGGTTCGTACGATATAAAGGCCAAGAACTACCGACCGCCTTTATTCAATCGTCCGAGACAACAGCAACAGAGCATAAAACTCTGGCATAGCCTCAGCACTCCGCCCCAATTCTACATATTGCAGCGGATGTAACCGCTGCCCATCGAGGGCCGCGCCGTTAATGATATGTACCGGGATCAGGAGGCCGTTCGATCCGTCTTTCACCGGTACCGTCATGTGCGTGTGTACGTGGATCGAGGTGACACGCGTGTCATGCTTTTGGGGGTCGAAGTCTTCCTTAACAAGCAGATATCAATCAGTCAAAGTCCTAAGCCTCTTTATACTAGATAGATATTGATATGAGTGACGTCTAAGTAAGTACCTTGCATTTGTCAGGAAGATATTTGAGGATAGGGTTGCACCTCTCCACAAGACCAGGACCCGAGAAGAATCGAAGGCCGCTAAACTCAGTGAAAGGCTGGTCTTTTAGCCAGTCCCCGACCTCTTTCAGGGCCGCCGCAGCCTCCGATGGCAGTTCTGAGATACTGGCCATGGTAGAATAAAGTATGTCGGTCCTTTTGGGGGCGCTGGTGCTGCTTTGGGTTTATTCAATGCTGCCTTCACGACCTTGCCCAGATACTGTGGGGTCGCAAACGAAGCAAGGGCATATAAGGATAATCAGCTAGCACTGTAACCCACTAATGTTCGGGGATCGGCAAGGGGTATGATTCTTAGGATCACGAATTTGTGAAAGAAACCAGATATAAGGCTTCCAATGCAGGTATCGTTGATACTAAGGTCAGTTTTCTTGTTGGAAATATTAGTCGTAGCCGTCTGTTTTATCTTACTACTCAGTGTATCATTCAGGGTCTGCTTGAAAACATTTCCATTGCTATGGCAAGGGCTTATATACTAGGGCTTGGAACTGTATTTCGTATTGTCTCTTAGGTAGGACCTATCGTTTTACTCTCTTCTCAGTCGGGAATTTCCTGCCCTATGGGTCGCAGGATATGCGCAATTCAATTCAAGGGATACGCTTTCTGAAACAGCTGAAGTGCTAGTGAGCGAATTTCCACCCAATAAACTTACTTCATACAACTAAGAAGATCTCAGTTGGTCCCAGAATGATCTCTACCTAATACAAGGGCCCTTAATAGGCAGATGTGGCGCACAGCCCGTTCAGCCTCTCCCGAGGTCGATCTAGGTATCTGGAGCTGTGGCTCCTAGCCGTGTGATACTTAGGCATGCTTTGCAAAACGTTTCGAGGTTAATAAATAATTTATTATTTCCATAAACTAGATGTTGTGTTCGTAGATTCTGCTGTTATTTTCAATGAAATATACTGTTGCTGCGTAGTATGATGTCGAGCACAATTTTCCTATAAATTCATATGCTAACCTTAAACGCAAGCATGACAAGGGCTACCGAAATAGGTAATAAGCTAGGTACCTAACTGCTTATACATCAGCGAGCTCAGGTAGCTACCTAGGTAGATTAAAATGCGATTGGCGTCCGCCATTCATGCAATCAAGTATGCTGTACTTTGCTCCCTCCTGAACGATTGAACGACGCAGCGGACAGATGGGTCTCATCATGCCTTAGGTACCCAACCTTGATGAAACCATCCGCCCGCATATTCTATAATACTCGAGGTGGTCGCGGCTCAATAAAGTTAGCCTCCACTTAAGACTTAGCCCCCATCGAGCCGCCTTTTTCCTCCGCCTCAACCTTCCAAACGGCACTATGTTGGCAGCCTTTTCAACTCCTGCCAAGCACTTCGGCGCGACCATTGCAGCCGGGTGGGCTTTGTTGCTAGTATGAGCAGAAAGGCAGCAAGCAGGGTGGAAGGCGCAGCAACCAACAGAAAAGGCGATCGCAGTGCACGTCGGGATGGCTATATTTGCCTCACCTATGGGCACCACCAGGTCCAGCATGAACAGGATCATTGCTAGGTAACCCAAGCTCGTATCCATTCCGATAGGTGCGGAGCTAGGGACCGGTCGATGCCATGCTTGATACATCCCCCATGAACAATTCATCGCCAGCCCATAGGTACATCCTAGCCAATCATCCTCTCAAAAGGCGCCATGTCCACACCGGTCACCATATCACTTGCTCCCAATGAAAGTGAAGAATTCTTGCCGTGCTGGCGAGTCGTTTTTGCCTAAGACAGCGGGCAACGTGGCCACACATCATGATAAAATCCTATCCCTGGATTTGCTGGTCTTAAGGCTCCCCAGCTGCGTCGACAAGATAGCCCAAGGCATCATCGTTGGTCGCAGCCTAACCTAGACAGCTACAATTTGTACTGGGCAATTCGTTTAAGTATCATGTCGGATCTCAGCCTAGGGGTTAGGAGCCCACCAATGCACCGTCCGCAAGTGCAGTCGTACTTTAGTCGCAGCGTGTTGCAGATAGGGTTGCACCATGGTGTCTGCTAGCCGTTATATCTGATCTATCTCAGTCCCAGGCGTGAGATTGAAGGTTTACGTGTCTATAATGGCCAATTGGCAAAAGCCTTCAAAGCTATCTGATATCACACCTACCCTAGCCCCCCTGAGTCACCTCGTTCTCTGTAGCTCCATTCTACTCTATAGCACTTCTTAGGATATGTGGCCATTGACATCACATTTGCCTGCCGTCCGGATAGGGGCTTTTAGGCATGTTTGAAGTTGTGTCCGCCTCCCTGCCTATGGCGACCACGTGGAGAATTGTATTCTCAGTTTCGCTGATATACACCTGCAGGGCACATTTTCCTGTACTTGGGAGGTCAGGCAAGGATCACACGTATTGGCTAAGGGATTAGTCGCTCATAGTGACTTATCGCTGCCAGTAGAGGCCAGGCATGCCGATTTAGGTACTCTTCTAAAACCCAGTGACTGAGAGAAGTGATCGAAATCTTCCGGTCGCCCCTGAACGGTTCTCAAATCTATCTAATCGTCATTATTGTCTAAGTTGATGAAAACAACAAAAAGACTTACTCTACCAATCCTCTCGAAATTGCAGCACTTCATTGTTAGTCTTTAGTAAGACATCAGATTCACGAGGGTAAAAAGGCCCCCGACTTGTATCGCGCCTTCTTCAACCATAGGCAGTAGTACAACGAGAGGTTCTAATTTGAAAATGCAAGTGAAAGAACTTAAAGTTAAATATTCTTACCCCTGCAACGACAACAAGCAGTTAAAATACCAATAATGATGCCCGGCTGGCCTAATGGTTAAGGCGTATGACTTCTAATCATAAGATTGCGAGTTCGAGTCTCGCGTCGGGTTCTATTCCCTTCCTCTTTTTTTTTTCATTTAAGTCTACCCATTAGCCCAACCTTTCATTCCTTCTTAGAGTTACTCAAGTATAGTTGATAGTTTAGTGACCAAGGTGTTGTTCCGGCAGTAGGAATCTGTATAGATTACGTGCATATTTATAGTTTTCACCAAAAGTTAACTCGTTCGTCTCGAGCGCATACCCAATCTCAAATGCTTTCATTCATGAACTAAAATTGATCAACAAGAGCTTGCAGACGCTCGTCATCTCCATAATCCTTCAGCGCCGTCTCCCTCCAGATCGTCCAATCCTGGCTGACCCCGAAGATTTTGAGCAGTGCCTCTGCTAATGGCAAGGCGTACGACCATTTAGGCTCCGAGGCCAAGCCCCAGAAAAACCTTCTTACCTTTTCATCAGCCATACAACTAGCTAGTTCAGGAGATCCTCTATCCCTCAGAGCCTTTGCTAATGCGGTATCAGCGTCGCTTAACGAGATTTTGCCACTGCACAATGCATTCATGTCGGCAGTAACAAGTGACGCTCCGAAGGCTTCATGTCGAGGTACAACGCGTGCCATCTGCCAGTCAATAATGCCGGTGACGTTAAGGTTCTCATCGACGAGTAAGTGGTCGCCCTTGTCGTCAACGTGCTTTAGAAAGAATCTCGCCGGCGCTTGCGCTTCTGTATCTCGCTGGCCTAGCTGTACAGCAGCAGTGTCTCTTAGAAAGCGGTATACTAGATACGCATCGACAGGATACTGTGTATAGACTTGTCCATCCGCAATCAGCTCCAGGTATTGCGCGGCAAACGCTTTATAATAGGCGGTGGGAGTATCAAATGGGCCCTCGGGATCAAGGGTGACGAATCTGTCGCTCGCCACTGCTGACACCTCGATACCAGAATATTCGCAGCACAAAGACCCAGCCCTTGGGAAAGGGTGCTTTTCCAACTCAGCCAGGATATCAGCAGCAGCACCCCATATCTTTTCCTTCTCCTCCCTAGTTGCCTCGTTGCCAGAAACCCCATTGCCTATCCATGGTCGCCCCGGTAGTTCTTCGATGAGGAGGAAGCTTATGCCAACCCCGTGGTCTTTTTCGATTTCACTGCCACTTATACCATAGCCGAAAGCTCGAGGCGCCGGCACCGCAGTAGTTTCGAGGAACTTCAAGGTCGCGTATTCGCTACGTATCAGGTAGTTTGCCAACGGAACTGGGAAACCAACGGCACAGCTCGTAACTCGAGGGATCCGTATGAGCCAGGAAGGGGAACCGTCATGGAAGCGGATGCGGGCATGATAGTTGGCACAGCCCATGAGAATGCCCGGCCCAGTCACAGGAGAGTGTTCGATGCTGCAACTCTTGCCGTCATTCAGCCCGGACGCAAGTTTACGCACGGCCTCTTCGTTGATCCGAGACCGGAGATTCTCGATCTCAGCGGAAATCTGCGCCCCGTAGGCTGCATCATCTACGATCTAGCAGTATGGTCGCATTAGCAATAGCTTTCAAGCAACTCAAACATGAGCTATTGTGAGAAACGCAAGACTCCCTTACCTCTTCGCACTTGTGGAAAGAAGGAGACATGTGAGTGTAGCATAGGTAGCGATTACAACTATCACAGCTACCGCCGGCGGCCCTGACGCTTGGCTTTGAGCATTGCGGCACTGAGCATGTGAAGAATCTAGGCGTCATGGTGTGTTCGCCAGCTTAAGTTGGTGAGTAATGGGTGTTATCAGGTGGACATGGAATCCTGTCACACATTGATCAGTTGGTACAGTACCGAGTCGAATATTTACAGGCATGCAGCCCTCTATAGCAGATCCAATCGTTGAACACAGAGCCACTAAGCTACTACAGCTCGAAAGGTTCAATTGAAGGTGAAGAATCCAGTTCCTAATCGTGAAGGGTAGGAGATTTGAATACGCGATAGTCTTGTTTTGTTTTTGTTTTTCATTAGCCACAAGCTTTGGCTCGTGCCCTAAACGTGTTATCGCTCGGGATAAACCAATAGATAAATCACAATCCTCGACAACGTCACAATCACAATAGTAATTACTAGTAATATATCTTCGTACCACATTAACCGTTCAAAAAATACCCATTCTTTAGAAATATAGGGAAAGGTTGCGGCACCGGGCGTCGATAATGACACGAACTAATGCTATTAGCTAAAGAAACATTTATATAGTTATATTATTTATATAAACACGCTGGTTACTGTCAGTTTCCCTTTTATAATTTTAATAAACATTTATACCCTTATTTATTCAACGATAAGCAACTTAAGCGACTACAGTCCCGAATAACGACACCTCTTTCTTTTTTCTCACCTCCCTCTCGCTCAAATGCTTCCCATTCTCTAGTATATGAAGAATAGTAATTACCTCCAATAGCACGCATAATACCATGGAATGCCCCAGATGGGAACCCTACTAGCGCTCTAATCTTATTATTTTAATATAGTGCTGTAATTCTATTCACTGATACTAATATCACTTTTCTAGAAACATCATCACTTCAGAATATATTAATCAGTTGTTCATCGCACCTACATTCAATTTTACTTAACGTATGTTTGTGGCTTTAGTAACCAATCTACCTAAGAAACATGTTCCAAACTACAAATCGTTGCTTATCGGTAATATCTGATGTTGACTACTTGGATTCATTTAGTGACCATCCCAACCATGATCGATACTACCTTCACGTAAACAGAGAATTAGTCATCCTATTCCTTGAAACCAACTTGTAACCATAGCTGTGGCAATGTTATTAGAATCTAGGACTTGTCGTGTGTGGCTAATGTATTTATTTCGCTTACTCTGCAACAATGAGGGGTAGTCTAAATAGTTGGGGGCCATATTATTTGGCTTCCTCCCTGTCAGGTCGTGCCGTAGGATAGACAGCTTGCTTCGTCACGTAAAAACCAGTGTTATACTATTTCCCTACTCCCTACAAGCGTCATGAGGCTTATACACACTGCAAGCTTAGAATTCCACGAATTTGAGAAATCTAGTTCCAGCGTCCCGCCGTATGCAATACTATCACACACATGGGGCGACGACGAGGTCACATTCCGCGACATGGTATCGGGCCCTACGAAATCTACGACGAAAAAGAAGAAAGGGTATGATAAGATCACACAGACTTGCCGGCTAGCCCGAGAGGCCAAATTGGAATATGTGTGGATAGATACTTGCTGCATTGATAAGTCGAGCAGCGCCGAACTTTCCGAATCGATCAATTCTATGTTCGATTGGTACGCGAATTCGGCAGTTTGCTACGTTTTCCTATTTGACTATATCCCCGGTGAGCTTAGGTTGAAGAACTGCCGCTGGTGGGCTCGTGGTTGGACATTACAAGAGCTACTCGCCCCAAGGAAGTTGGTGTTTTATGATGCCAAATGGGCACATGCAGGCACAAAAGTGTCCCGTGTCGACCAAATACACGAGATTACTGAGATTAAAGTGAGCGTTCTAATGGAAAAGAGCTATATTTATCATTGTCCCGTGGCGGAAAGGATGTCCTGGGCTGCGTCCCGACAAACAACACGCATTGAAGATGAGGCATACTGTCTATTTGGAATCTTTGGTATACACCTACCCCTAATCTACGGGGAGGGACGAATGGCGTTTCGTCGACTACAGGAGGAGATTATCAAACACAGCGCAGACTTGTCTATATTCTTCTGGCACACTCCAGTACGCAACGATGGTGCTAGACCGGAATACCTAAGCATGTTCGCTGAATCGCCTAGCAACTTTAGCAATGCTATGTTTTCCAACCCCGATGCGTCCCAGTTTCCAGAGTTCTTTATAACCAACAAAGGGGTTCTATTCTCCGACGTGGAGACGTGGGTGGAGATGACTGTCCATGATGAAGAAGGAAAACAGTATAAATTTTATGGCATCGCCTTGGGAGGGGCGAATCTTAATGATATTCAAATGGCCATCCCACTCCGCAAGATCCGCCCGGGGTTATTCTATCGTACTGGACGCATTCTGACACAGTCCTTATCTGGTCGAATTCAATGGGACCGGCTGGCAAAACATTATCCCACTCGCTTCTACGTCATTACAGATCCTACGATAATGCTCCAAGACTCTGCATACTTCTTTCGCCGCAACTGCATTCACGTGCGTGACAGCGGGCAGTTTCGACTTTCTGATGTGGCTCCACGTCATTTATGGGATGTAACAGATCGTGTATTCTTATACGCGCCGGCGTTCATCCGAAGCCCTATCAGTGTGCTTGCTGCAATGTTCAATGCTACATTCAGCACATTGGATCTAAATCTTGTTGTTCTCTTCCAGGCTGGAGCCCTCCGTTCTCGAAGCTGGTTGAAAATTTTCCAAAGAGATCGGTACCCAAACCAAGTCGACAGCATTTTTTGGATGAACCCAGAGAAGATATTAACGCTAGGGGATTTTAAGGAGCTAATACCAAATATCGAATCACTTCAGGACTATGTAGATATCGACTTACCTGGCGGCAGCGGAGTAAGGATACAGGTATCGTTAGAACCCGGACAAATTACCACGCCAGAGCGACGAGCCCCGGAAGTAAGCGCCGTGACCTTTCATTTAACACCTAATCCGGCGAAGGAATGATCACATGCTAGATCATCTTTTATTCTTACTCTATCTTGAGTCGTGGAGTATTTAGCTTGGAACAGAATGAACGGGGGTTATTTAAGCAAGAACCTCATGGGTTTTCTATAGTTGAAAATTGCTAGGATAGGGCGCAAATGTAGATAGATTACATGTACTATATTGCCACCCAACAAAGAAATATCATTTGCTAATAGAACCCCGATATGTGGTTTGGAGTATTATCGAAATAGATAATTGCGCGTGGATGTATAGAGGCCGACCCTATATTGTTTGTATTAAGAATAATGACGGATGTATGCAACTACGATAACGTGCATTGGGAGGTGATGCTACGCCAGCTAGCGTGGGATGTTTATGTGTTGTATCATGAGTTAAATAGAGGCTCGTGGTATCGATATGAAC